GCTGCCGGTGCCGGTGCCGGTGCCGGTGCTGGTGCCGGTGCCGGTGCCGGTGCCGGTGGCGGTGGTGGCGGTGGTTGTGGTGGTCTTCAATTTGCTGTGTATGCCTGCAACTGTTGATTGCAGGTGCTGTAGTGGTCGGCACGTTTTCTTTGCGGTGTATTGAAACACCCACTACCCAGTCCCAAAACACCGTACTGCACAGACAGCAAATGGCATGTCAAGATACCATACAGTCCGTGCAGCAAACAAAAGGCTTCTGCAAGATGTCCGGAATGTGAACTGCTGAGTTGTTTGACGTCTCTGTTGTTCTGTTGCTGCTTAGTTGGTAGTCGTGCTCAGAGCGAGGTTCCTAATAGTCTGCTAGTTCAGAGTCGGATGCGGAGCGGCAGAATCGAACAAGGTCCAACATGCGGTGGTTGCTGCGATGTTCGAGGCAGGGTTGCGGTGAATGCCCTGTTTCTTCGGTGCGACGAGCCTTCTCTAGGCGATCGACACCAACAAAGACGGCGTCCTGTCCCAAGAGGCCTGCTGCAAAGTGCGTGTTGCTGGATCTAGGGTTTAGGGTTCGGGGTTTAGGCATCAGGGTCTAAGGTGGGCCATGTCGCATGCAATGTGAGTTTCCAGGAGTTCGAGAACTTCCTCACCAGACCGGCGGAGGCAGGTGTTAGATCACATTATACTATATACTATATTCTTTTGTATTATATTATAGTAGATCAAGCCATCATATCACATCGCAGGTGGCAGCAGGCACTTTGCTACGAGTTTGTTACGTTCCATACTTCCAAAAGTGTGGTTTGCATGGTGTTCGTGTTCCACCCACGTCTCGATGTATTGTGTGCGTTTCTGCCCCTGAGATTGTTGTCCGCACTCAGATGCGACATCCGCATATCCTGTAAAAAGCTGCCCGAAGTGTCGGGGATAGTTGCAAGGTAAAGCTTGCCCAGAGTTCTCACCGATTGGTCGAGTGAGTAAGTGCAAGAAAAAGCAGAATCCTGGATGTAGATGTGCTTGTCTTCATTCTTTGTCAGACCCGTCCGGCAGAGCCCTACCCCGCCACCCCCAATTACACGTCGGTCTCTCTCGCCACCCAGAAGATGTGGCCCTTGCAACACGCCCCATCATAGCAAGCTCAATCCTCCAGGAGCTAGGCCACGCCGAGCCGGCGAACCAGGCCAGGCACGGGTTCGTTTTTTTAAGAAGAGGCCAAGTACTTCTATCCTTTCTGTGGCGCTGCTTCTGCAGTCTCATCCAGCTGGCTGAGTGGTTTCAGGATTCTCTCCATGTCCGAGTTGCACTGCAGAAAGCAGAACGACTTGTCCTTCTGAGTAGGCCGCTCATTCAACATAGTGCATTAATGCGTGAGCATCACCTGACCCATCAGATCCTTGCTCCGTTCAAGCGCCCTAAACCCTAAACACGGGTCACGGAACGTCTCGTGATGAAATCGAACGGTTTGCCTGCGTAGGTCAACAACGATAGACCCGAAGCCAGCAGCACTTTAAGGTTTAGGGTTAAGGGGTTTAGGGTTTAGGGGTTTAGGGTTTAGGGTTGATCTTCTTGCACCTTGATGCCAGTGTAGAAGCACCGACTATGCTTGGATTTTTTTGGCAGGTGGTAGAGATGCACGACAAGCATGGATAGACGGGAGCAGTCGAAATCTTGCAGGAAGGCATGCGGTAGACGGAGTTCCTTAATTATCTCGGCTGCTGGCACGCAGTTCGTAGAGGTAGCGCTCGAGTCAATAACAAATTGACAATCGAGAAAGAGGCGAGAAATGCAAGTTCTGCACTGCGTGATGAACCAGCATGTGGATATCTTAAACTAGTTGGACCAGCAACCACAAGCCGGAAGCATGGTACCTTGCATGGCAGAGAATTAGATGTGCAATCACACGTCAGGAAGGGCTGACGGCTTTACCGGAACCTGCAGCGATTGCCAAGGCAGGCTCCTTGCAGTCACACTTCATTGTTGTGTCTCTAGTCGTTCGCTGTCACCAGGCGACTTTAGGCCACACCCATTGCATGTTTGTATATGTTAGGAACACGAGCTGACCTTTGCAGCTGGGCCAGCAGTTCCCGAGACACCTCTTTGCGATCACGTACACGAGAACTACATCAATCGAGTGAGGCATGAAGAAAGAATCTCGCGTCTTGCATGCTGCACCGATCCAAGCTTCAGCAGTTGCGGCGCGTGTTGAAACAAGCTGCCTCAGTCAGGATGAGAATGACAGCGAGAACGTTCCATCCATGCAGGCCACCCTTCCAAGATGGGGAGGGGGTGTTGCCACGCAACGCTTGATCTGCCGCCCAGCATTGCAGCAGCGCCTAACCTTTTAATGCCCAGCGGCCTAGGTCACTGAATGTGCTGTGATGGGATGGCAGGCTTTGCTCGCCCAACTCGACAATGACTACCAGGAGGCCAGCAGCATTCTTGGGTCTGGCGCCGTCCGTTCTCTCAGGCTTTACAAATCCCACAGGTATAGCAGCTGCTGCGGCAGCTTTTGGTACCAGGCTTATGTAATCAGAACCTCCGAGCACAGATTATATTATTGGCACCTTGTTTGTGCATGTACACATTATATTCATGATGCATGCATATGTGCATACATATAACTGATAACCCTTTGCTTAAACATATATGTTATGTAGACACAACCATCTACACACGTGTGTGTGTGTGTGTATGTATATGTATATATATATATATATAGACAACTTCTTTATGTATGTAGCATGTAGGTATATATACATGTATCTATCTATATGTAAAGATATAGCATACAACGGTGCATGTGATTCATGTGTATGTACCTATGCATGTCTGCATGTACCTGTGGATGTATGCATGTATGCACTGCACTGCACTGCACTGCGCTGCGCTGCGCTGCGCTGCACTGCACTGCACTGCACTGCACTGCACTGCACTGCACTGCACTGCACTGCACTGCACTGCACTGCACTGCACTGCACTGCACTGGAGTTCCTTCTCTCGGTTCTTGGCATCTGCGCACGAGTCACCAAGTTGACAACCCACATTTGAGCCGCGAGTCGTAGGGAAGAGCTACAACCAATGTAGACCTATCGAATAGACGACGACGACGACGACGAATGGGAACGGGAAACTCCAAAGCGCGTGCGTTCGCCCTTTGTTGGGTTTGGTGCCGCATGCATAGCTCACTGTGCATTGCAAAACGGCAGCAATCAAACATCAGGAACATGGGATGTCGCTTTCACCGCAGCCAGCAGCGGTTGCCAAGGCACGCCTGTGACATTGATCAAGATTCGCTGGGTGTTCTTTAGTTGCCTCGCAAAGCGACGGTAATGCAGACACGGTGCAAAGACCCTTATGACACGGAACAGCCGAGCAGCCTGTGCCACACCTTAGGACGAGCTGATCGTTGCCGCTGAGCCGGCTACAGTTCTCGAGGCTCCTTCTTGCCAATGCAGACGTTCAGATGCCTAGTGCATAAGGCAAGTAGCAGTAGCAATGCCCAAGCAACATTGCATCTTGCATTCCGCACCACACCGAGCTGAAGTTGAGGCCTGCAGCAGTTGCAGCGTACATTGAAGCACGCTTGCCGCGGTCAGGATGACAAGGACAAGGAGGACGTTCCATCCATGCAGGAGCAGCATCAAAGAAGGGGTTGCCACGTAGCCATGCCGCCAGCTGGGTATGCAACTGCCGTGTGCCAGCGGCATGGGTCGCGGAATGCGTCGTAATGATATCTATGGCAGGCCTTGCTCGCTCAGATCGACAATGACAACCTCGAGGCCAGCAATCGTCTTTCGATCTTCTGATATCGTGATGCCAGTAGCCGGCTTAGGCACGTTGGCACATGCGTGCGATTGCGACCCAGGCACTGTTGAACGAGACACTACTCCTCGATTTTCTCGGTAGGTGCTAGAGACGCATGAAAAGCTACTCGACGCACAGCGACTTCGAAGAAGCCATAGGAAGAAGAGCGGGATTTGATCCTCGAAGACGAAGGAATCGATTTCAGTAACAGACCCCGAGACGACAAATGTGTGCGCCCTGTACCCGCTGCAGAGAGCAGTGGCCGCTTTGCTGCCTCCCGGTGTAGCCAACACGCCTGGGGCGAACGCATAACAACGAACGAGCGACTCGTAAATTAGCCCCGAGGAGCATGACGAGTGCAGCGAAGAGGGAAGGGGGGGGGGCCTGCTCTCCCATAGCGAACTATGCGCTGCGAAGCGGCGGCCTTCATATGTCAGGAACACCCGCTGATGCTTTCACCTGAAACAGCTGCGGCGGTTGCCAAGGCAAGTTCTTGATTCACGCTAGTATTCAGGGATATTCAACAATGAACTAACACAGAAGCCTAAATACTTACCACTATTATTCCTTATATTTCTTTGTTATCATTAAAGTTTACACCCTGTTCCAATCATTATAAGGCCCGTACATTGGTGCAGATGTTTCGATGAATCGCAAAGTGACAGTAATCCAGACATATCCAGACCCCTGCCGAGACCCCGCAACAGAACGTGCTATATACTAGGAACACAATTACAGTTCTCGAGGCATCTTTTTCAGTCACACATGCTAGATATGTGGTTGCATGTAAATACACCTAGAGGCCAGTAGCAGTTGCAGCGTAGCGGCGTAGCGCCAAGCAAAATGGCACCATGCATGTGTCACCGAATCAATCTGAATTTGAGATTATGAGCAATTGCAGCGTGTGTTGAAGGAAGTTTGCGGCAGTCAGGACAACAAGAACTTTCCTTCCATTCAGACAGAGCCTGCATCTGTGTTGAAGGATGCCATGCGAGCATGGCGCCAAGCAGCATTGCAACGGAGCCAGACTCATGAAAGCCATGCTGTGAGCAAGCGGCATGCGTCACGGAATGCCCTGTGATGAGATGGCAGAATCAGAATGCCTCATGAGATCGAATGCTGGCACTCTGTAAGATATGCTTCGCAATCCTCCAGAACTCCAGAAGCTGCAAGTGTGCGATACGTGTCACTAGTCTACAGTCACATACACATCGGTTCGTTTGGGCAGCAACTTCCTGCCATTTGGTGCCCGATGCATGATACTGTTTTTCGAAAGCCCTTTCAAGAGCAAGCGGCCCATGCCAGGAAGAGAAGCCGAGGGTTTCAGCCGAGCCAGCTGCCGTTGAAGAGGCCCGCTTCTTGCGATCATCGTCGCTGTCGGTGGGTGCTTGTTGTCTGTGGACCCGTTCTTGACGACTTGAAGGTGAGACCATCAATATTATCACCAAGCAACCACAGCCCTTAACCCCAAGCTTTGCTCAAACTCTCTACCGGAACCCTAAACCCTCGCCCTAAACCCGAAACTCCACGCCGCGAACTATATGTCCCTCCAACCCTAAACCCCTAATCTCAACCTAATCTCTAGACTCTAGAATCCCACAAGCCCTAAAAACCAACCCCCGATTACAGAAGCCTGCATAATGTAGCGTGTCATTCCTTATGGCTCCTGAGTCTGATTGTTCTATCTACAAGGTAACCCAAAACCCCAGTCTAACTACCAAGGTCTGAAGACCAAACCCTTATGGCAACCCTTGCAGATCCCTTATGGCAACCCTTACAGATCCCTTCAAAGGAAGCCTTCACAGGAACCCCAATAAAATTTCATTCCATATCAAGGCCCTTTGTGTCATTCTCAGCAAAGGTCCGAGTGGATGAGGGCAAGTCGACCGGCGCAGTGGAGCTGGTGGCTTCTCGGAGTTACATATGGGAGTTTCCAAAAACTGGGGTACCTTATGATGGGGGTCCTTATAATAAGGATCCTACAATTTAGGGTGCTATATTGGGGTTCCCTATTTTCGGAAGCCCCGATATAGGGGCCCTTAAACAAGTTGTAATAGGGTCCCTCTACTACAGGGCTCCTTGAAGGTCGTTTCAAGGGTTCGATAGTTGCGCGCCGCTACTCTAAGGGTGTTGCATAAGGAGGCTTAGTTGTTAGAATAGGGTCTTATCATGGCTTTGTGAGTGCTCTACAAGGGTTGCTTCGAGGGCTTAGAAACGGAGCCTCAATGATTCGGGTGTTTGCTAGTATCGTAATAAGGACCTCTGCAGAATGATATGGGTAAGTATTTAGGCTTCTATATT